ATATATAAAGTGAACATTGAAGTCAACACTTAGAGGCGGCTGTCTGTTTCATGCTAGACACAACCGCCAGGCCTGACGATTGCATCTAGCATAAAACAGACTGCTGCCTCTAAGTGTTGACCTCAATGTTCACTTTTATATTTACACACACTCTCTGATATTGAGCACTTTTTCACATAAATATAGCACACCTTAAGACTATATTTCTTCATATATATATATATATATATATATAGTCTGTTCTCATTGAGTTTATGTATCATGTTCGTTAAACTCATTGTGGACTGAGTAATGTCAGTTCTCTCTCACAAACAGACCTCATGCCAAAACTTAGCTATGAAGGTGTACAGTGTCTTCATCTTTGTGGCCAGTGAAAGCCAATAAGATTGTTGAATAATTCAGTTGCATCTGAAGTCAGGGCTAAAAGTGAATTTTGTGACTCAATGTTGTAGTAGAGTACTAGTACATTCTTTCTGGGGTAGTAAGATTATGTGTTGTGTTCATTTGAAGTCTCAGAATTGTCAGTAAATTGGCTATCGTTTGGGCAAAATTTAAGAATTAGCTAGTTTTTTTTTTAAAGTAATAATTTTATATTCATACAAACAGATAATACAAATAGATACATGCAATTCCAATATGTGTGGATCACAAGAACAATACATATAAATTGTTGATGCTAAATAAATAAATCTAGTGAACAGAGTTTCTCTTTTATTTATTACACGTAGGTATAATGGGTCACAATGCAAAATGTGGTTCTTGCTGTAGGTCGCAGTAAAAAAAAAAAAAGTTTGTAAAACACTGATCTAGATGACTTTGCACTGGTAGAATTTCATGTAATTTCTGAAGTCTTATGTATCCCAAGAACCTTACTTCTCATAATTCATAGTTGTTTTCATTAACGTTGAATTAACAGTAGGACAGTTATGATCCATAACCTATGAGATGATGGGGAAATAAAATATAAGTAGTATTCACAGCATTATCTGCAATAGTATCCACTTTTAGAACAATACAATAAAGTGATATTCATAGACAATATAGCATCAGTCTGTTTATATAAAGATATATTTGCCAGGATTCAGTTCCTTATATACACATGAACTTCACTGGAAATATACAATCACAAATAGGTTTATATTCTAACATTTCCTTTCCTTCTTAATTATTTCTTTTCTTTCTTTCTTTCTTTTTTCCTTCCTTCTTACTATGTTTTCAACATGCCAGCACAAATGATACCACCATTGAAAAACCCAGAGAAAAGCCATCTGCTGCAAGTTATTTTAAATCTAATCCCATTATTATTCAATGGTGACTATTTGTTTAGTTTAATATTCAGGAAGAAATGAGTATAAATGTGAAAATTTAACAAAAAGGTTTAAGTTTTTCATAGATGACAAGTGCAATGCAAATGCAAATTACTTAAATATCACCATTAATTTCTGAGAATACAATAAACTATTTATTAACGAAGTAACCATAAAAATTACTAGGATTATTTGTGTATGGATAAGTTATACAAATATCTACACAATATATATATAGAAAATAATGCTAGCTATTAATATATATAAAATTATATAATTTAACATAACACTGTGAACAGAATTTGTGCCAATTGATATTTGACTAGAGCAATAATTATTGAATCAGATATAATAAAGTTTAATACTCATCAATGTTAAAAAGTCCTGAGTAGTGATAATTGAAAACATGAAAATCCGTGTTGACATCAATAAGCATTGAACTTTAGTTTAACATTTACTATTTTATGGGGAAGAATGCTCAGTATTGGAGATAGAACATTTGTAGATTTACACTGTAGCCATATCAACACTGCATAGTGACTACATCCAATGCATCAAGAGAGGATCAAACTGTTGTATGCATGTGGATATATATATATATATATATATATATATATATATATATTAATTAATTATATATAGATGTGCACAAAGATGGACTGAGGTCAACACCCAGTGGCAACAGTGTTTCATGCTTAAATGCAATCTTCATAGCTATCAAATGTGTTTAAGCATGAAACAGACAATCTGTTTCCACTGGGTATTGACCTCATTGTCCACTTTTGTATTTACATACACTATCTTTGATATTGAGCACTTTAACCCATAAATATAGCATACCATAAAACTATATTTTTTGTAACCCTAAGTCAATCCTGGTCAATGCCAACCAATAATGTGACCCTGTGTGTCAGACCTCAAACTTCTTCAGACCACAGTGGTTACCATCTAGCTGACTCCTCACTCATTAGTGCGTGGCTGGTTTGTCATTGATATCATGATGATAGGCATGGTTCCACTCGACTTAGCTGGTGCTTGTCTTTTCACTACCATTTACTCCTCTGCCACATTGTATTTTTAATCTCAGACAGTGAGAAGTTCGCTGGTGAAGCAAACAGAAGTGAAGACAGGTCAGTGGCTGGGAGCTACACAAAAAAAGGAATTCTTTGGTATAAAGAATTAACTAAGATTAAAAATTTAACAACAATTTGGTTTATATATGATTTGTTACACATTATGAAATGGACAAAATTTGATAATTATTTTAAGACATTTTTATGTTTATACATTCATTTTATAGATACAGTGTGACCCGGATATAAGAGAAACCCGGATATAAGAGAGATTTTCTCTGGTCCCAAAGTGTTCCCATATTTACCTAAACAAAATAGACCAAACCCGGATATAAGAGACTTCTTCTCCGGTCCTGACAACTCTCTTATATCCGGGTTATATTGTACAAATATTTAAGTAAATGCTCTGTTTATAATAAACAGTATTAAACAACATTTACCAGCCTGAATGTCCAAGAAATTTTCACAGAAAATATTTGTCCTCTGAATGAATTTAAGAAAAAACTTTTTAACATTGATGAGTATTAAACTTTATTATATCAGATTCATATTTATTTGATTGCATTCAGGCCAGTAAATGTTATTTAATACTGTTTATTATAAACAGAGCATTTACTTAAATATTTGTATCTATAAAAAGAATGTATAAACATAAAAATGTCTTAAAATATGATTTGTTGTATACAGTGGTTTTAACCTTTCTCACTTTGTTATAATCAAATGACACTGGCAGGGGTGGGGGTGACCAGGGTTTGGGTTTGTTTATCTTCCACCCTTGGCATCAAACTTTTTTCATAATTCCATATTTTCAAAACATATTTACTCAAGTGATTTTCCAAATTTGGGGTTATCCAGCCCACTCTTGAGAATGATCAGAGGAATCAAGCTAACTCTTAACTCCAACTTCCTTAACGTCTCATCTCGCACCATACAGGTGATGCTAATCTCTCTCTCTCTCTTCCTTCTCCCACTTTCTCAGCACATAACCTCAGCCTACTCCAAGGGCTAACACACCATTCCTGTGATGAATCAAACTTTCTAATAATTAATCTTTCTTCATCAGCTTGTCTAATGCTGTGATTTCCCAAAGCTAGGGACTTGTTTAGAGCTTATTCAGATGGCACTTACTGCCAGCCAATCTCAAAAACTGTCATGGGTGGGAAAGAAAAGGTAAGAAAGATATTCCCAATCTCTTTAGTGATAAAGAAAAGTTATCTTTTCTCTGTTTATGCATTTTTTCAGTTAGCAAGAGAACATAGCCATTTTTGCCCACTCCAAAATAGTAATTAATTTTTATTTATCACTTGTATCTAAAGGAATCCAAATTAATGTCAGATATAAAATTCTTTCTTTCTGTCACAGAAATTAAAATGAACAAACCCATCAAGCTAATCTCTATCTTTGTAGGGACACTTTATTTCAGGGTGGCTGTTTCAAACTAGATGGTTTTCCTGGCTTTTTTGTCCAGAACGATCATTAAATGTTATTTCAGTGACCACCCAGGTTTCTTTATTGACAACATATGTTTTTCTATTTGACATCTTTGAGGATACAGTAATGGTTTCTTTCTCATCGGCAGGAAGTAGGGAAGGACAGGTAGTCTTGGTTTTGCTCAATCTTATTGAATTTTGTCTTGTTAAATTTGGGTTTGATCCTCCTTGAAAGTCACTTACTATTTTGAAACATGATTTTTCAATGCATTTGGTTTTGAATTTTCAACTTTTCAATCCATCTTCCCGCAAATTTCAACAATTATCCTTCAGTTAGTAGACTCTTTCCTCTTCCTTTCCATTTTTTGTTTATTTAACCCCCTGAGATTTCAGTGTCACATTTTTATCATATATATATTTTGATTACCCACAAACATATGTAAAACACCTTTTACAGCGCCTATTGATACTATAATGATTTTTTATTTACTCACCTCCCCACGGTGGAATGATGTGATATGTGAGGGTATACTTTTGTGTACATATAGGCCTTTCTCATTTAGTTAAATGAGGGTTGAAATCCTTTGAACTAGACATCTCTCTCTACAAAAACTGAACTGTTTGACGGTAGAAAGACAGAAGAGTACAAGAGAACAAATACTACACATTGATCCCAGTTGAAAGTGTGGAAAGCATACATTAACTTGGTTTACCTGTGACCACCAACCTCCTCTTTTTAGTGTGACGAGGAAAGTGTTAATGAAGGGTTGAAATCCTTGGAACTAGGTATATTTGATACCTTTAAAAGGTAGCGAACAGACATTACACTTTGATTGCAGCTCAAAGGCTGGGGACAGGCAGTCATACTTTGGTTCAAATCAGAGTGTATAAACTGATCCTAAGCAGAAGAGTCAATCAATATGTAAATAATCCCATCAGTTTTGTTGGGTAATTTTTTTAGCAGATAAATAAAATGCAAATAAATCAGGAAAAGATGAGATATTTGTATATATTTTGGGTGATATTAATTCGCCGGGAATGACAACATTTACCTACATCAAAAGTAGATTTTATTTCTTGGGTCAAATACATATGCAATTTTGTAATAACAAAAATCAAAGAACATTCTTCAGAGAGTTGCTCAGATGGTTAAACAAAAGAAAGTAAAATAGAGAAAATGTTGTATGTACCTTGGGGTATGTGCATGATGCCAACTGTGAGTCCAGCAATAAGATCACTAAAGAAGTCTTTCTTGAGGCTGTACTTTCGCATGATGCCAATGAATGGTAAAAACTGTAGACAGGAAGAGCAGTGACAATGTTCAAGTTGCTTCTTACAATATGATGGAAGTGTCTCATTTTGTCGTTTGTCACACTTGAAACCTTCATCAAACTTTGCCTGTGAATAAACTGGTCTCTTGATAACCATACGATTATCAGAGGAACAGTCGATACCATTTTCCGTCTGTAGCCTTTGTAACTTGATAAGACTTTGCTCTTCCCCATCTTCAGTGGCCATTTTTCCATCTGGAAAGGAAAGTGAATTTCAGTATATAAAACATTATGGAAATTTGTTTCAAAACAAAGGAAAGTTGAACAGAGAGAAGTGTGCAAAAATCTATAATTATATTTTCTATTTTTCAAATGTTTGATTCGAACAGTTTAGATATATATAAGGGGGTACTGAAAAGTTCCAAGTCTGATCAAAGTATTTCAATGACTAAACATTATAATACTGATTCGTAGAAATAGGTCAAAGTGAGGACTTTTGAGCAAACATTATTATAATGTTAATTAGTAATTCAAAACATTTCATCATACAAATCATCAGACCACTTTTTAGACTCACAATCTCTTCTTGTTGTACAACTAGTAGTCATACTTTGCTGCTTTTTATTATTATATCAAGAGAGAACTTTGATGTTACAACATGATTAATATTTGATATTAGAGGAAACATGCCCAAGAAAAAACAAAAAAAAACAAGCAAACATAATTAATATGATATATAGACAAAATGTAATACATAAAATAATAAATATTTCTATAGTCAGATAATGAATCCAAAGATTTAAGTTAAATCATTATTTATAATTTTATGATGAATTCAGAATGTTGTAACATTTTCACCAATTCAAACACCAGAATTGCTTATGACTCCACAGATTGATTCACAATGGTCTGCAATCTAAAATTTTGGCATCACATTCATGACTGTTTTCATAATTGCAAATTTAAGAAGAAGAGAATTTGAATTTTTGTTTTTAACCAATATCTATCCATTTCTTGCTTTTCTGAGTTATTGCAAAACCCAAGTATGTAACTTGTATGAAATGATCTTTTAAGGTTTATAAATTGGTCTTAGAAAGATTTTATAAATTAAATAACAATTTCAAACTTGTGTAATATGTTGGAGGAAGAATAAATATAACTGAACTTCATTAATACTTTTTAATTTTTTTATATAAGAAAATAAAAAAAATTTTTTAACAAATCAAATATGGCAGTTAACTTTTAAAGCAAGAAAAAATGTGAAATTTCTTTTAGAGTTATTTATTGACATAAATGAATACTGCAATTTTGAGGTACATAAAAATTTTATTTTACTATATTAAAAATGTTAGCCTTGTATAAAAGTTTGTTTTTTAATACATTTTTTGGAGAGAAGTGAATTTTTATTAAGGCTAGATGGCTTGTGTAAAAATTGTTACATTTTTATAACCTTTTTGGTTCAGCAGTTGAAACCTGCCAAAATTTGTGATGGATACATTTCCAGTTTATGGAAAATTATTTTTTAGTATATACTGACCAATGAGAGATTGTGGTCTCAAGCTCTAGTAACATCCTGGATACTGAGGCTGATGTGAGCATATAGAGCTCAGGTCAGGAGATACAGGGAGAAAATTTTTGGCAACAAGTGACAAGGCAAGTTGTCAACATTAGAGAAGGCATTTGACATCAAGAAGAAAACATCAAAGAAGGCACCAGTTTCCAGCTAACTGCAGAGAGACCAAAAGTTCAAGTGAAAATTCTCCTGTGGTTGGACAGCCAAGAATGAAAAGAATTTAAAAAAAAATTTTCCCCAAGTACAAACTATGTGAAGTTAAAAAGGACTTTTCAAAAAACTACTGTATGTTACAGAGACACTTGCGGAGCAAGTAAAAGTAAGTCCTTTCGGGGTTTTTTTTCTTAAAAGCTGTTGCATTTTTTTTTTTTTTTTTTACTGTCTTGCATTGTTTTCTCTTTTTATCATTTTCAAAATCATTATCTTTTCCAAAACTAATTTTTTTTCCATTTTTTTGCTGGTAGTCCTTTCCATCTGAAATTACTATCCTGCCTTAATAGGAGCACAAAAAGAAATTTTTGTGCAAACTATGTATTTGTATTTTTTTTCGTAATTGTATAAATAAATATTTTTTCCTTTTAAAACTTTATGCAGTAGTTGTCTTGTTTTGTAATTTTGTACCTATTATGTTTTACTATTGCTACTCAACTAAGTTTCTGTGTCTGGCACAAAAACTTGGATAGGGTATTTGATTTTTATAACATACTAATAACAATAGACTTTGCTTAAGTTTAGAAACTTACCAAGATAAAACATACTTTTTATTTTACTTTGGCGGTTAGTTCTAACAGTACCATCAACATACTAATAACAATAGACTTTGCTTAAGTTTAGTGTAGTGATACTAGCAAATTAGTATGCATAATTTGCATGAGCACAAGTGAACACTCATAACTGATCACTGAGAATAACGAAGGGTAGTAGAACAAATTTAGCAACTGATTAGTGCTAACCTCTGCTTCACAATAATGGCGTCGCCAATAGGATATCAATTGTCTCTGGAAGATCCAGATTTTGTGGATACATGGATTTGTTGTTTCTCTGCCACTGCGAGAACAAAAAAGTTGAAAGACAACAAGGAAAAGGGAGGTGAAAATGAAATCACGGATTTATTTTTGGCTACAGCTGGATGCGAGGCGATAATGAAAGTCTCCACCATGGCATATCCCTCAAATTTGGAAGACCGGACTTTCGAAAAAATAAGTCAGATTATAAGAAGAAATATGAGATCCAAGAAAAGTAGTGGCAGAAAGAATGAAATTCATGTCGATGAAACAAGAAATTGACAAACCAATTATAAAATATCTACACCGTCTACGAAATGCGAGTAGATGTTGTGAATTTGAAAAACTTGGACAAGACGAACAGACTATTGAAGAGGACTTGATTCAATTAAGATTAATTGAAGGTATGTGCAATTCATCACACCAATATAAAATAATGGAACAATTACAAGTAGGAAATATGTCTTTAAATACATGTATTGACTTTATTCAGCAACAAGAACTAATACAGAAATACAACCATCATAAAAGTCAGACCGGCGAACAATTATTTGCTGATACATACATGTTAAAGAAGATAAAAAAGTGTTCATATTGTGGATGTAAACACAAAATAAAGGAAAAGTGTCCCGCATTTGGAAAAACTTGTAATAATTGCTTAAAAAAGAACCACTTTCAAGCAGTGTGTAAATTAAAAAAGAAAAACGTTGAAAGAATTACATTAAAAAATAAGAGTATAAAAAAATTGAACATAAGAAAAAAGACATTATAGTAAAGGTCAAAATTAATAACTGCAATTTAGATATGCAAATGGATACTGGAAGTGAAGTAACACTCATACCAAAAAATTTTTGGGAAGCCACCTTTACAAAAAAGCAGTTTACAACTCCGCCAATTTGATGGGTCGGTTATAAAAACATTAGGATACTTTGAAGGTTCCTTAGAGTTAAAAGATAAATTTGAAGTAATACCTATAGTTGTTACAAGTTGCGAAAAGAACCACGGACTTATTGGAAACGGCGTGCTTAACATAAATTCTACCAAGTTAATTAATGAAATAAAAATGGAAAAAACTGGAAAGTTAAAAAAACTATGAAGCAAGTTTAAAAGTAAAAGAAAATGTTCCTCCCTCTTATTATGAGGCACAAAAATTACCAGTACATTTATTGCCATTAGTAGTGACAAAACTATGTAAATTAGTAGAACAAGACCTTCTTGAACATATTCCGCCTGGAGGTAGCAAGTGGGCATCACCGATTGTAGTGTTGAGGAAAACAGATGGCGATTTACGTATTTGGGGAGATTACAAAATAGGCGTAAATCACAAGATATGCTCGGATTCATATCCCATACCCAATATTGAACTTGTATTACATGCACTGGCAGGGATGTCTGTTTTTTCAAAAATAGATTTAAAAACAGCATACCACCAAATACCAATAGACAAGAACTTCAAAGAAGTAACCACGATAAATACTCCAATAGGTTTACTAAGATGGAAAAGGATGCCATATGAAATAAAAACCGCAAGCGCCATATTTCAAAGGGCCATTGAACAGGTTTTAGGAAATGTACAAAATATGATTTGTTACCAAGACGACATATGCATAGGAGCTACTAATGAAAAGGAATTAAAAGAGAAAACTGACTTAGTCTTGAATAGATTAAGAAATGCTGGAATGACAATAAATGAGAAAAAATGCGTAAGCAATTCTAACAAAATATCGTTTTTAGGTTATTCCATTTCAAAAGAAGGTATATCACCAGACCAAGCCTTGATAGAAAAAATACTAAAAGTAGCTATACCTACAAATAAAAAAGAATTGGAGTCTTTTTTGGGATTGGTAGATTTTTACAGGTGATACTTACCAAAATACACAGACTTTACGGAACCGTTTGCAAATTTAAGAAAAAAGTGTGGAATTTATGTGGTCAGACGAACAGCAAAAAGCTTTTGAAAGATTAAAAGAAATTATGTCAAAGAAACCTGTAGTGAAAATTTTTGATCCCAAAAAGGACATAACACTCACTACAGATGCAAGTGAACATTCAATATCGGGAATATTATCATAAGGAGGACATCCAATAATGTATTTATCGAGAAGATTAATGAACACTGAATTTAATTACTCGAACATAGAGAAAGAAGCATTGGCTATCATGTGGATAACTACCAGAGCCCGACAATTTTTACTTGGGAAAAAATTTCTGTTAAGAAGTGATCATAGACCATTAGAGTTTATATTTAACCCAAGGAAAGAATTACCCAAAGTCACAACATCAAGGATTCTACAATGGGCGATAAAATTGATGGCATTTGACTTTGATATAGAGTATGTCAAAGGAAATTCAATTCCACATGTGGACAGACTATCAAGATTGAGGTTCTACAAGGAGTCAAAAGAAAAAACAGAGGAAGAATTT